TGGCTTAAAAAACTCACGCCGGGCGTGTGTGCGTGCGTGCCCAAGATCCCGAGAGGAGAATGGAGGAGAGGGGATTGCGGCGTGACCATCCCCCCTCGGGGGTGATTTCTCGCTTTCTGTCTCTATGTCTCTCTCTGTCTGTTTGGTGAGCGCACGCGCCCTACAGTGAAAATCTCTCAAAAAAAAAAAAGAATACACAAAGCATTTATTCATAACTTCATAAATTAAGGTTAACTATGTGTTTAGCACCTAAAACACAGGACTGAAACATCTAAAGTGTTCTGGAATAAGTTGAGATTCTCCACTAATCCCCACAACTAATATGTAGGTAAGTCACCCAGTGGGCATGCTTAGAAAAATCCCCTTATTTCTCTCTTGTCTGCATTTCTTCCTTCCTACTCTTTTTCTCTCATTATTTCCTCAAACACTATTCCTGAATCTTTATTTATTTATGTGAAGAAGTCACTAACTACTGGTACCTCAAATTCTATTCTTCAGATAAACATTCTAAACATTTACAGTGTTAAAGGCCACGTTAGGAGGGCCAGCAGGTGGCATTGCAGTTAAGGTGCTAGACTCCCACATGGCCAACCACAGCTCATGCCCTGGGCCTGGCAACTTGAAAACCACACCAGGTGCACGTGTGTTTGCGGGTGTGGATGTGTGTGCCTAGAATCCCATGAGGAGGATGAGGTGAAGAGATTGCAGAGTGGTCATCCCCCTGGGGGCGATTTCTCACTTTTCCTGTCACTATCTGTCTGTCTGTCTGTCTCTCTCTCTCTCCAGTGAATGCATGTGCCCTTTAGCAAAATAAATAAATAAATGGTAATGTTAGGTGCTGTGAGAGATGGTGAGCATGAGTGTAATATCGCACCCTTCTTTGTAATTACAAGAGTATCTAAACAAGTAACAGAGTTTCTGGAGGGACTCAGACGATGGGTCTAAAAATCAAAGAATGTTCCCTTTGTTCACTTTTTAAAAATTAACTTTTTGGTATCTATCATGTTGAGTATCTACTATATGCCAAACTCTTTGTAGATGCTGAAGATTAAAAACTGAACAAGGCAGGACCAGCAGGTAGCATATCGTTAGGATGCTGGACTCCCACATGGCCAACCATGGTCCAAGTCCTGGATCCAATGCCTTAAAACTCATGCCAGGCACTTGTGCATACATGCTCAAAAATCTCGAGAGGAGAGTGGAGGAGAAGGGATTGCTGCGGGTCCATGCCCCCAGGGGGTGATTACTTGCTTTCTGTCTCTGTGCCTCCAGCAAGCACACACACTCTATAGCAAAAATATCTCTCTTTAGAGATTTGTTTTCTTTTAGAAAAAAACTGAGTAAGGCATTAGCCCTGCTCTCCTGGGACATGCTTCCTATTGTGTCTGACATGCAGAGTAGAAAAAAGATGAAGGAAGAAAAGAGGGCAATGCTAAAGATGGGAGCAGGATTCCCAGAAGCTGCCAAAAGAAATAATGAAAATCTAGTTTAAATTTCTTAAGAACAGAGAAGAAAAATCCTTTCCACTGTGTTTCTTTAAAATGAAAGTAAAAAATAAAATCCTTCAAAATCACAAGTTTTTACTTGCTCATTTACCAACTTATCTTATATTCCTAAATAACCCTTTGTGTTCTTTAATATCTGCCAACCAATTTCTAAGAAAACAAAATATATAATTAGTTGCATGTGGGACCAGCAGTCAGCATAATCGCTATGTCACTGAACTCCCATGTAGCCGACTGAGGTTTGAGTCCCAGACCCAGTGGCTTAAACTCACACCGGGTGCGTGCACATGCACGCCCAAGATCCCAAGAGAAGAATGGGATTGCAGCATGGCCATCCACCAGGATGATTTCTCACTTCCTATCTCTCTATCTCTCTGTCTTTCTGGCGCCTGGCCCAACAAAAAAAAAAAAAAAAAAAAAAAAAAAAAAAAAAAAAACCTCTCCAAAAAAAATAAGTTGCAGGTTATGTGGGGGGTAGGGGAGGCATGAAAACTAGAAAATTTAATTTAGTTGTCAGTTTTCAGTTGTTTCAGATGCCTTTAGTGCCTAATTTTATTGTTATATTACTATTATTTATAAATCCTATCATTTAAAGCCTACAGAGTATATCAGACAGCATTTATCATATTACACACACACACAGAGACGCATATATATATATAACATTATATAACACTATGTTATATCTATAACGTAGAGAGAGAGTGTGTGTGTGATTTAGGGCAGAAAATTCTAAAAAATGTAGGCGTACAATATGGTAAGTGAATCAAGACCAACACCGTAATGACTTAGGTCGTGGTGCAAGGCCATATAATTAAGCGCTAACTTGTGCAGTGCAGACTCTAAGTCAAGAATGGCGAAGGCCCAATTCAGTGTCACCATCTGGCTCTGCCTCACCTGTGCAGATACCCAGAGCTGATTCCAGCTCTTATTCCCACTGAGTCCAGAAGTAGCCTCCAAGTTTCTGGCAGAACCCCGCCACTGCCACCACCACCACTCCCTGCACCCCCCAACACACACACTCCTAGGCAGTCATTTTCAATGGCTTTAGCTGGTACTCAAGAGGAAATCTACTTGGCATCACAGCTATAACACTTTATTTTAAAAATGCAACGAGTCCATTTGCCTAGAATGGATGGCAATTCCAGCCCTCCCACCTGTGAGTGAGGGCAAGCATGCCAAGAGCAGGGGATAGATGTTGAGGGTGTTAGCCCTCAGCACTGGGTCTATAGGACAGGAGGCAGGAACTGGAAAAGCCATTAACATGATAGAATTCAAATTCAGAGTAAAGCAGGGGGTTATTGTTACTGAGTACCTGCACATGTCTTCCAGAGGTCCCAATTTTGCTCTTACGAAGTTGTGGAGGGGAAATAAAGGAAGTGATAGATTTATGGCAGGCATTTAATCTTCCTGGATCATAGTAAAATGGGGGAGCTGAACTAGTTTCCTAGGATGGCTAACACAAAACACCGGAAATCGATATCTTAAAACAACAGGAACTTACTATCTCATAGTTCTGGGCTGGGTCTGGAGTCAGGATATCAGTAGCACCTGGCTCCCTCTGGGACCTGAAGGGGAACCCTTTCTTGGTCACTTTGAAGCTTTGGGCGGTCTGTTGGCGGTCTTCAGTGTTCCTGGGCTTACAGGTGTGTGACTCCACATTCTACTGCCTCATGTGGTGTTCTCCCCATTAAGCCTCTGCCTTCACAGGGCTATCTTACGATCTTATTAAGACACCAGTCTTTTTCGTATCTCAACTAATTATTACTGTGGTGACCTCACTTCCAAGAAAAGGTCATATTGTTACACACCAGGGGTTAGGACATCAATGTATCTTTTTGGAGAGGACACAATTTGACCTAAAGCAAGAATTAAACTAGAAAAATCTCTGAACTCTACCATTTTAATACTCAACACCAAAAAATTAACAGAGAAGAAAACATTTTAAAACATTCATCTCCAAGTTATCACCAGTCTCTAACCAACTGCAGGGACCATGTAGTCATCACCTTTTGAAATAATGATGTTCTATTTGGTAATTCCTAAAATGGAGCCAAAAGTTACCCACTTGTAATGATTCTGCAACAGGACTTTGCTCCTGGCAACTTTTCATGTGTCTTTCACCAGCTGAGTCTCCACACGCCCTTTGAACTTTCATCCCAAGGCCATTAAGGCTGCTCTGCTCCATGTGCACTCCAGGGGGTGCACCTTTTTAAATGACAACATTGCAATAGGGCATATTATTCTGAAACATGCAGCCTATACCAAGACCAATACCCGCTTTGTTTAGAAACCAGAAGTGTTTGCTCTCTTGTCATTGACTCATACTTTGCTTAACCATCACGTCTTTCTCATGTGCTGTGCCATTTAATGTCTCCCTCATCCTGAACTCATGCAGTTGTCGGACTTTTTTTTAATATGTAATTGAGATAATATAAAAGGGTCTATAAGCCAACTACTAATCAGACCAGAGAATCATCCAAAGTTCTTTCAACACTCCTCCACTCTAGGGATATGACCCAGCAGTAGAACTAGCAGAAGGGAGTGCGCTTTTGCTCACAGCTCACATGAGATGACGAGAAAACTTTAGGCAATTGGGAAGGTTTCAGACTTGATTTCTAAAAGGAAGTAACAGCAGGATATGGAAAGGGTAGAAATTTCAGAATAGAGAACAGAGGTAAAATACAGGGTGGTTAGAAGAAGGAAAACAGAGATGGCCTAAAAAATCACGAAGAATCTACCCACAACTTCTCTGCTAGCAAAAGAAGTAATTGTGGGGACATTGCAAGTCTGCAATGAGGCCTCAAGTTCCTCTGCAGCCTGGTAAACCATGTGACTAGTTCAGGTAGCACAATTTTCCTTTATCTGAATCTATAATTTATCACCGGTGACCTTGGATAAATTGTTAATTGGGCTTGCTTTAAGTTCCCATTTGGGATGCGCCTTAAGAACAATGATAGCATGCGCAGGAGCAAGGAGGAGAGAATCCAAGCGCCCCCACCCCGCCACCTCCCCGCCATGGGCCACCTCCAGTCTACTGTGAGCATTACAGAGAAAAGCACAGGCTACAGGCATTGAACGGACCCACTCACGGGCAACACCTCAACCGGAGAGCCTTCCTCCCACCAAAGGTATGCATACAAAGTCTAAGCTTATTCATGGATGGATACACAAAGATAGTAGTTACAACCACAATTTATTAAGGAATTACTATGTGCCAGATATTACAAAACCTGCTTAAGAACAAGCTCTTAGTAGAGGTGTTGGGATCTCTGAAGGGGCACAATAAGTCGTTCATCCCCATCTCATGAACGAAAGCCAGCAGGTGAACATATTTACTCCTGATAAAGGCTTGGCTACAGGACACACCAATTGGTATGAGAGCCCAGTGGGCCTTCCTCTGAAGCCTATTTCTGGCCAGCCCTCCTTAGCGTCTCCCGCAGCTCTGAGCCTAGGTGAGACCTATGGGTCAGCACACAGAGCCTGAGGAAGGGATCAGGGTGGAACCCAAGGTGGAGGAAAGGGAGATGAGCCCGCCACTGCCAGTTCATTCCTCCTATCTTGACGATGCAGCAAGTACTCTAACTCCTTTGGAACAGAATGAATAAAGAACAGAGTCTGAGAACACTTAGTGAGAAACTCCATCTCACATACACCAGAGGGGAAATGGCTCCCCTCTGACAGAAGCAGACCAAGATTCGATGCCATGACTGCCTGGCTTTGAAGTTACAATCTTACCCATCAAAGTAGAACATAATGCACCCAGTGAACTACTGGCGGGTAAGGCTACTAAAAGTCCGTTTTTCTCAGGACACAATGAGAGAAGAAGGGAGAGAGAAACTGGGGAAAAAGAGAGAGATTGTGTCAGAAAGAAGGCAGGTTGGGAAAATATTATACTATGGTATCAGTACCCCATGACTTAAAGTCCACCTCCTGGTCTCAGGTCTGAGCCAGAGAGAGACAGAAATAAAGAGACAGAAGGGAGACGGATATTATAAGCAGAAATTAAGTTTCTTTTCTATTTCTTTACTACAGGGCATGTGTACTCACTGGAAAGAGAGGAAAAGTGAGAAATCATCCCCCCCCGGGGGTGGGGGGCTGGTCATGCTGCAATATCTTCTCCTCCATTCTCCTCTCGGGATTTTGGGCACACATACATACGCACCCAATATGTTTTTCAAGCCACTGGGTCTGGGACTCGAACCACACAGTTGACCAAGTTGGATCTAGCCACCTTAACCTCCACCCCACCTGCTGACCCAAAAGCACAGTTTCTATTAAGAACTCTGGGGTGCTCTGAGGCACAAGTAGCACCACTATGTGTCCAAGGGATGAAGTATAGCACAGCCAGAGAGAAAGAAAATTTCCCACTTCAGAGTGTAGCTTTGGAGCAACGAGGCTTCCAGAGAATACAGCTCCTCTCTGGCACAGAAACGGGTGGCAGTGACAGCTGGACACAGAGCTTGGCTCATGCTAAAGTGTTTACAGGCCCCTTAACAATAGAAACTACCGCAACACCAGGTACTCCAGTTGGGAATGAGTTAGCTGCATATAACATTTTTTTTTCACTTGTTCATTTGTTTTCTATTCCTGTGTTAGAAATTACCAAAACTTGGTAGTTTAAACCACACACATTTATTACCTCATAGTTTCTGTGAGTCAAAGCCTGGGCACTTACCTGAGTTCTCTGTTTAGTTCTCACACAGCTATAATCAAACCACCTGCTGAAGCTGAAGTCTCTTCTGAAGCTCCACTTTGCAAGGATCCATTTTGAGGGGCACAACTCAGCTCTTTACAGCCCTAGGGGTTTCATCTGGCTGTCCACTGGAGGAGGCCCTCAGTGCCTATAAGCCACTCACAGCTCTTGCCCACATAGGCAGCTCATTTCTACAAAGCTGGAAAAGGAGGGAGAGACTCCAGCAAGAGGGGCTGGATCTAATGCACGTTCTGTAACCTTCGCCATATCCTGTCAGTCACAAGCCACACCTGCAATCAAATGAGAGGAACCCAGAATGGCAGAAACATCGGTGAGCAGGGGCCATGGGGACCACCCAGTTTTGTGTCTGTCTCCCATATCTTATGTAGAAAATAGAAGTTTTCATTCTTGGAAAAGAAATTTATAAGTTGCCATTCATTCATGACCAGGGACCCAGCTTCTTCAAGCTTTCCAGCTCCCAACTTCTAGAGTCTGGCCTTCTTCTTGATGGACCAAAATGCTGAGAGAGCTTGTCAGCCAGCTGGAATCCAGATGGATGGATAAAGGGAAACAAAAAGAGAGCCTTACCCCCTTCCTTTTCAGGCTAATTCTCAGAAGCATCGCTAACATCTCAGCTTACCCACTGCCCAGAATTGAGTCCAGTACACCACCTGGCTGCAAAGGAAGCTGGGAAATGCCCTGACACTGTGAATAAATTCAGGACCCGGGGACTAAGAGGAGGACAAGAAGTTCAGTAAAAGGGGAACATAGCAGTCTCTACTACATGAGACATTAACAAAGTGGGCCATATAGGAACAAGAACAAAGCAAATTCCATGTGACGGCTTTCAAGATCTTTTGCTAACACATGAAAGATCCCCGGAGGCTCCCAGGAATAGCTAGGAAGGACTATTCCATAGAGATCGCATAGATAATGCTCATTTCAGGCCAGCGAGGTCTGAACACGTTGTTTTCCCGTGGTTCCTAGACTGAAACGATCATTAGAAACACCTGTTTACTGAGCAATTCTTATTCAGAACCCAATCCTACACCTACAGAATAGAGTTTCTAGAAGTAAGGACAGGAGTTTTGTTAAAGCAAGCTCTTTAGGAAATTCTGATAATCAACCAAGTTTGAAAGCTTCCATCAGAGACTTTTTCAAGAAATAAATAGTACATCTTTTCTTAGTCTCCAAACTAAGTTTTCTAGCCTTGGGATATAAAATTATTTGTTTATCTTAGTATCCACCCAGTAATTCTAATGATCCCATTGCTGATAAGATCAATCATATTAAATTAACTGACATTATTAGGTGAATTAGATGTGCCCAGCTTCACTGAGCTAAAGAGCATCTGAATATTGGTACCTTTAACATTTTGAGCTAAATATTTCTTAGTTGTAGGGGCTGTCTGTTGTGTTGTAGACTCTTTAGCAGTATCTTTGGCCTCCACTTACTAGATACCAATGGTGCCACCTTCAGTTGCAACATCCAAGACTATTTCCATACATTGGCATATGTCACCTGGGGGCAAAACCACCTCCCAAAAGAGAATTATTATGCTGTCTTTTCACAAAAGCCCAGAAAGTTCATGTCAGGAGAAGTGTTAAATAACACTGGAGAGAAATCAAGAAAAAGCACCTAAAGTGTTACTCCCTGGATGCAACAGTCTGTGCCTCCATTTTCCTAAGTATACATTAACTCTGCATACTATATTTCTAGATAATTTCCATAAGATGAGTGAGTGTTCATCTCACATTAATGCTGTATTTGTGTGTTACCTTCTCCACTGATTCTACCCCAGCACTAAAAACAAAGAAGAAGAAGATGAAGGCTGTTGGTAATCAAACTTCTTAAATCTCATTCACGTCCAGTCCTGATAACTCAATGATGCCTACTCTAACCTACCTGAACACATACCATTTCTCTGGGACCAGCAGATGGTATAATGGTTACATGACTGGACTCCCACATAGTCAACCACAGTTCAAGTCCCAGACCCAGTGACTTGAAACTCATGCCGGGCGCATGTGCATGTGTGTCCAAGATCCTAAGAGGAGAATGGAAGAGAAGGGATGGAAACATGGCCATTCCCCCTCATTTCTAGATTAGTCTCATCCTTATACAGAGACCCTTGTGCTCATAATTGTAGTTTTAAAGTTATGCTAAATCTATTACAAATATTGAGGATATATTGTTTTTTTCTTTGTTTATTCCCTTATGCCTTGTCCAAGTGTGTACACATCCTCAAGTTGTCTCCCTGTGTGCCCGACTCTCTGGTTCATTTAACAAGCATCCTTCTTTCTTGTTTTTTGAATTCCTATTTTTGTCAGGTATCAGTCATAAAACTCTTGATATCCATAGGAGATGTATATACTCAGACCTAGATATAAATATTTGACTCAGAAATGGTCGCAAGATTTGAAATGTTGCCTAACGTTGGGAAATTCTGAGGACAATTTTTAGTTCCTGATTATAGTCGTTTGAATTTTATCTCCCAGAAGACAAATTTACATCCAAACCTCTAGTAACTGCAAATATGACCTTTATTTGGAAATGCAGTCTTTGTGCATGTAATCAAGTTAAGGTGAGATTATATTGAATTAAATGGACTCTAATCCAATGACTGGCTTCTTTAGGAAATTCTGATAATCAACCAAGTTTGAAAGCTTCCATCAGAGACTTTTTCAAGAAATAAATAGTACATCTTTTCTTAGTCTCCAAACTAAGTTTTCTAGCCTTGGGATATAAAATTATTTGTTTATCTTAGTATCCACCCAGTAATTCTAATGATCCCATTGCTGATAAGATCAATCATATTAAATTAACTGACATTATTAGGTGAATTAGATGTGCCCAGCTTCACTGAGCTAAAGAGCATCTGAATATTGGTACCTTTAACATTTTGAGCTAAATATTTCTTAGTTGTAGGGGCTGTCTGTTGTGTTGTAGACTCTTTAGCAGTATCTTTGGCCTCCACTTACTAGATACCAATGGTGCCACCTTCAGTTGCAACATCCAAGACTATTTCCATACATTGGCATATGTCACCTGGGGGCAAAACCACCTCCCAAAAGAGAATTATTATGCTGTCTTTTCACAAAAGCCCAGAAAGTTCATGTCAGGAGAAGTGTTAAATAACACTGGAGAGAAATCAAGAAAAAGCACCTAAAGTGTTACTCCCTGGATGCAACAGTCTGTGCCTCCATTTTCCTAAGTATACATTAACTCTGCATACTATATTTCTAGATAATTTCCATAAGATGAGTGAGTGTTCATCTCACATTAATGCTGTATTTGTGTGTTACCTTCTCCACTGATTCTACCCCAGCACTAAAAACAAAGAAGAAGAAGATGAAGGCTGTTGGTAATCAAACTTCTTAAATCTCATTCACGTCCAGTCCTGATAACTCAATGATGCCTACTCTAACCTACCTGAACACATACCATTTCTCTGGGACCAGCAGATGGTATAATGGTTACATGACTGGACTCCCACATAGTCAACCACAGTTCAAGTCCCAGACCCAGTGACTTGAAACTCATGCCGGGCGCATGTGCATGTGTGTCCAAGATCCTAAGAGGAGAATGGAAGAGAAGGGATGGAAACATGGCCATTCCCCCTCATGGGCGGGGGGGGTGACTTCTTGCTTTTTGTCTCTCTGGCAAGCACAAATGCCCTATAGCAATAATCTCTTTGAAAAAGCATCCCATTTCTCATAAGTTTCAGTAACAGAAATGTGCTAGAGATATACTTTAAGCTAAATAAAAATAACACAGATGATAAATAGATGGTAATTTCATTTCAATTTTTATTGACAAATCATGATTTCCTGTTGAAAATATAATAGTGTACAATTAATGATAACATTTCAACATTTAAAATTAAACTTTCAGAATCACCTTGATCAATATATAAAGCTTTTAGTGCCTGGAAAAATAATGCTTATTTCAACAGTATTCTTTTCATGTGCAAAACAATTTCTCACACTTGAGGATTTATGAATGAAATTTTATAAAACTTCCTGTGCCTCCACATCAGTTGCACTGTACTGGAAACCCAAAACATAAAGGCCTAAAGGACCAGAATCGAGCCGTATTCTATTGAAGCTGTCAGAGATCAATCTTAAAGATCTACAATGAAACAAGAGGCCACCAATTCAATACAACATGAAATAGAATGATTCTTAAATTTGTAGCAACACATTTCAATATCATCACTATTACAGAGATACATATGGTATTTGTGTGTTCTTTGAAGGAAGAAACTCAGAAATTATCTAGGAAATACCTATTCTTCTGTGTCAAAGTTGAAATGAAAATGACAATGTATTTTATGGAATGATGTAACATAGTACATAGACACATGAAAACACAACTCACTAGCTAGAAATAATTTTAAAACAAGACTATTCTCACTGATATATATTTCATTTAAAAGTTAAATATACTGCTTAGTGTCTTAAAGAAAGTAGGATAATGGTACTCTGTTCAAAGGTGATAAAAATTGCACCTCAAATTACTTGCCATGTAACTTTGAGACAGTTAATATTAACAATACATCAGTTGAATAGATGATAGAAAGATTTAATTCTTAAAAATACTACACCTTCCTAGAATTTGCAAACAAAAAAAATGGGAAATATACTCTTTTGTTGAACAGAAGCCTCTACTGAGAAGGTAAAAGGTTCTGAAGCTTATCCAAGATGAGTCCACTTACTGTAAGTGTCTTAAATTACAACATGCAAGAATATGATGCACCTAAGAATATGTATGGCATCTTGACCCACGGTGATAACCACTAAGCTGACTTAAAATAATTACTGCCCTTATATTGACAAATCTTGCTACGGAGTATTTTCAACATATTTTCATAGAAATGAGTATTCAATAGTTGAATAAAACAAGTTTTAAAAAGTAAAGTTGGGGCCAACCATGGCATTGAATCTAGATGGCTAGATCCTACATGGTTGACTGCATAATTTGAGTCCTAGACTCGGCATCTGGAAAGACACACTAGGTTTGTGCACATATCTGCCCAAAATCACAAGGAAAAGAAGGAGGAGCAGAAACTACAGTGTGGCCATTCCTCATAGGGGGTGCTTTCTCACTTTCTTTCTCTCCTTTTCTTACTCCTTGGCAAGCAAGGAGACATACCCTCTACCAAATTTAAAAAAAAAAAAATTGTGGCAAGGTTACTAAAGAACTCTAGATTATATTCTAGCAGTTTAGTAAGATGAATCTAAAAAAATAGACATAGAAAAACCATAGTTCGGGACCAGCAGGTGGCATGGTGGTTAAGGTGCTGGACATTCCCACATGGCCGACCAGAGTTCGAGTCCTGAATCTGGTGGCTTGCTTTCTCACTTCTCTCTCTCACTCTCGCCCTCTGTCTCTCTCTGGTCAAATTTAAAAAATGAGTGAATGAATAAATAAAATTAAATAAATAATTATTTAAAAAAAAGAAAAACCATAGTTCCAATTTCTTAATGTCATAGAACATACAGAAATCTCCAATAAAATCATCAAGTTATGGAAAAATAAAGATAATTGAGATTAAATTGTCAGAACATTTAAAACTATACTTAGTACAAACAGAAATTAAGGCTAAGTAAGACTCTTTTTAGAATTATTTTATTTTATTTGTTGTTGTTATTATTATTATTAATTTGACCAGTGAGAAACAGAGAAAGACAAAAAGGGAAAGTGAGAAAGCAAGCCACCAGGTCCAGGACTCGAACTGTAGTCGGCCATGAGGGAGTCCAGCACCTTAACCACTGCGCCACCTGCCAGCACCAAGTATGACTTTAAAAAAAATAAAATAACTATACCTGGGTACAAAAGAATAGAAGCAGGGAGAGTTGGGCTATCTACAAATCTGGAAATCCCCATGTGTGGAATGTAGTGTAAGTGACAACAGTTAGGTAATAGATGTGTATCTGGGTTCTACATGACCACATGCTTCTCAAAATATAATTAAACCAAAGACATCATTTATAGGATTTTCTTAAATGCAATAAAACACCACAATAAAGGGAAGCATTTTATCGACCGGGCACATTCAATGGGCTATAGTTCCTTTTTTTAGAACTATAACAAAACGTAGTAAGACAGTGAGACCAAATATAAAAGTGATGCTCTGTTTTAGAATGGTTTGGCTACTATTTATTCCCAGCATTCAGTCTCTGGGGCCACTGGCCAGCCAAAAAATGGAAGTGAGATATTCTGTTGTCTTAATAAGGTTCCTAGCTGGTGGAAAGAAGGGGGACTTTAAATTACAATAGTTCCTATCAGTAAACAAAATGGACAGCATTCTATGTGGAAGAGTTTTAGCATAAGTAAACTTAAAGGCAGAGTTTCTAAAAATATTATTACTCATGGCATGTGAAGAAAATAATTTATACTATTAATTACTGCTATGTATACTCCTTTTCTCCTTATGCCTATTGCTTTTCACTCACTTCACTGCTTGTAGCAGATTCAGAGCTCGATGTTTAAGAGAGAGATGAAGGAGAAAGGGTTCAAGACGACTCCACAAGACAATGCTATTACCCTTTCTCTTCCTCCTCGTTCTCCTTCACTTCCTTCTCGTTTTTAATACATTTATAATAAAAATAGATGAGTTAAAAGTGACTTTTCAAGTACTTGAAAAAAAAATCTCAAGTACTTCACAAAAAAGTATTTTAATTCTAGTTGTTAAGTGAGGACATAGGGTCTAAAAAAAATACAACCTGTCCTCCAAAGGCCTTACCATTCTGCTATTTCCTAATACTACACTGGAAGTGCAGTATAAATTATTTATGAAGAATATAAGGTATGGATGGTCAGTATAAGGCTCCCTGGGCAGGGAGGGGAGGGTGACATTCTTTGCCCACACTCTCCCCTAGCTTCCTTGTGAGATGGTTTTACCTCTGAAGAGGTCCCAGAGCTTAAACGCCAGAGATGCCACGACCGTGATACCCAACACAACAAGTGCCTTTTATCAAATAGACTGTTTCAAAGGTGTAACAGACCTAAAAAACTTTTCTCCACTAGAAAATAAATATAATAAAATCATATATTTGATATCTATCCTTCATAGACCACTATGGATCTGTTTTCTACCTATAGATGGTAAGTTTTCAAATGCTAAACGTTAGTCATTCCTACACTGGTAACCAAAATATCCATAAGCAGTACATGAACATTCACTATAATTTCTCAAAATCCACTAAAGTAATAGCATTCTTTTTCAAGTAAACCTTAGAGATATATTTGTGTACTTTACTTTTGGTTGATTTATTTTTTAAAGAACTGAATATAATATAAGGCAAACTCTTTGGAGACTATGGCAATTATGTTCCCATGTCCACTTGAGAGAAATGCCATGGAGTTAAGGAGCAAAACATTAAGTTATTTCTTAGATTTAGTAATATATTCTTAATTTTTATATATCAAAATCATTTCAATATATTTACTAGAGAAAGGAGAAAGAAGAGAAGAAAGAAGGAAAGAAGAAAGGAGAAAAAGAAGGAACCGGAAAGGAAAGACATTTTTCTTTAAAATTCCTCCTCAGATAAATATTACCCTTTAAAATACAGGGTAATCACTGATCCAGTGCTCAAAATCCAGAATCTTCTTAAGAGATTCTCCAATAAACATCAGCTGTCACTAGACAGCTGGCAGCCTGTTGATGCTAAGACCTCTGAGCTTAGAAGTCCAGGACCCCTGGCCAGTGCTACCGTACTTCAGGTCAGCAGTCATGTCAAGACTCTGTTTCCCATCAACCCCCACTTCTTTCCCAAATCACAGGGAAGTCAGTCTGCTTCAACTTCTACAGTATGTTGTTGTACCCTGGCTCATGGTGTCCCCTGATTTAGGATCTTCTAGTATAAGTCACAGAAGACACTTTCGCAGTATCCTCTGACTTTCACCCCTGAAACAGAGGCAGTCTATGGGGCTGAGAACATGAGATAGAGAGAGCACACTCAGTACCCTAAGGGCAGTTTTCAGTAGCTCTTCGACTTCTTAGGAAGTGTGCAAAGCACAAGAAAACATATTGTCCCTCTTATTCTTCTCTCTAGAAGAAAATGAGCAGGAAGGTAAAATTGGGACATGTGATCAGATTTGGAGTAGAAATAGACCATGTCACTTAAAAGAAAATTCACCACCTATGCTGTAAAAAGAAGCAATATCCAGTTCAGAAGCCTAAAAAAGACCACTGGGTATAGGGTGGGGTGGGCAGCAGGGTTAGGTTGGAAAGCGAACAGAACAGCGCCTCCTGCTGGTTGTTGTCTCCCAGTACCCACGGAAACCCATCTTATATTAAATAAACACTGATGCATAATAGTATTTGAAAATCTAGGCTCAATTGTCTTATAAAACAAGAAGAATAATCTAAAATAAGACTTTTATTCTGGAGAAAACAAACACCTCCAAAACAAACAAACCAACAAACAAAAATTCTAGGTCCTGAGAGGGGGAAATAAAGACATATAATTACAGTCATTTTGATCTTCCACACAAAGGTCAAGTGAAGACGTCTATACAGCTATACATACTAGGACCTGTTATACACCATCTTCCCAGACCCCATAGAAATAAAAAAAAAAAAAAAAGCTTTTTGAAATAGTCAGGAATAATATCCGATTGTGAAAATAAAACAATCACATGTGACTTCTGGAAATGTTCATGTTCCATAGAGTCCTTAAAAAAAAATCATAGCTTGTGTTGCAAATACAGAAACATTAAACAGAAAAGAAAAACAACCGAAGAGTAATGAAGGGAGCCTGAAGCTCCCACCTCACAAGGACCGCAGCCCTGGATGTCTCCACAAAGGTCACATGAGGACAGCTTCACTTTGGAGTTGTAACTTCTCACCGCCCGTCTCCCTGTTCAAAGAGGCAGGCATCAGTTCATACATCCCTCTTGTTCAGAAACACTAAGTTTGCCAAAATGTAAGAGCATTTCAATATATTTTTAAGTTTTCTATTCTTTACATAACTTTATTTTTTCTTTACAAGAAACAACTAAACTGCTCAGGTGGAATCCAAACTGCTAATGAAACCAAGAGAGGAACAATACATTCAGTCCAATCTATCTACCACCCTCAGTTGGCCAACACTGAAAGAGCAAACAACCACAGCTGCACTCTGCAACGGCAAGTACGACTTCAATCTCTTACTGCAACAGGAAAATACTTAAATTGAGGGTTGCTTAACCTCCTAAAGAGTTGATCTTAGGATGACATTTTCTATACATTTAAGTAAAAGTCTATGTCTGGGGGCCAGCAGGTGACATAGTGGTTAAGGCACTGAACTTCCACATGGCCATTTGAGTCTTGGACCTGGAAGCTTGAGAATCATGTCGGGTGCATGTGCATGCATGCCCGGAATCCCAGGAGGAGAGTGGAGGAGAAGAGACTGCAGCATGGCCATCCCCCCAGCAGGTGATTTTTCATGTTCCATCTGTTTGTCTCTCTCCTCTCTGACAAGTACACATGCCCTATGGCAAAAACCCTAAAAAAATAATAATAAAATCCTAAGTCTGGGGCCAGGTGGTAGAGTAGTGGTGACGCAGCTGGACCCACAAAAGAGGGGTCCTGAGTTCCCACCTTGAGACCCCGAGCACACCAGGGACTTGCACATGTCTATTTTTTGGGCCAGCTGGGACTAGGGGTGAATGATGGTATGGAGATTTTGTGAAGGTGCCTCTCTCTCACGGAAAAAAATAAATAGATGTTTTCTAAACAGTTTTTATAGTAAAACACCATAAAACATAAAAGAGTTTTATGCTTAGATTTTTTTTTAGAGATATTTTTGCTATAAGGACATGGGTTTGCCAGAGAGACAGAGACAGAGAGGAAAAAAAGTGAGAAATCACCCCGCAGAGGTGCCAAAATCCAGTCTCCTCCATTCTCCCCTTGGGATTTTGTGCACACATGCACTCACACCTGGCATGAATTTCAAGCCACCAGGTCCAGCACTCAGACTGCAGTTGGCCATGTGGGAGCTCAGCAATGTAGCCATTACACCATCTGCTGGTCCCTGTTTACAATTTTTTAAAACACATCTTATTATCAAATTTCTTCATGATTTTTCAGAGATTGTTTTCTATATAGTAAATGTGCTTTCAGATTTTTAAAAGTGGACAGGTAGATTTTCATTATTCTAAACTTTCCCATATTTTTATTTTAAAATGTTCCTTCAAAATAAATTGTTTTCCACAAACAAAATATACGTAGACTTAGTTGTTTTTGTTTCTTAAATATTTAAAGTGTTCTCCATGCACCTAAGACACATCAATTGAGGAATTTTCTAAGTAGGTTAAATGACAAAACTGAATAACTAGGCATTGTCATTGGATCTCCAAAGTGTATCTCATCCCTCCATCAGAAAAAAAAAGAAAAACTTGCCAAGTCAATATTTTCCAAAAATGTCTCCCAAGATACCAGGTGTTTATTCTTCCTCAATTCCAATATGAGGCAAAAGACAACAGAAACTGACTGGTTGACTCAATAGGAAAGACAATTGGTGCTATACCTTAGTCTTGATTGTCTATCAAGCAATACTAACAGCGTAAACAAGTTCATTTTATTTTAGCGTAATTCACTACAACTACCTAACATGAAAATATTTACTTTCTCACATATTCTGGCGATTCTGAGCTATCATGAGCACTTGTTCAGGATTAGACTTTATTACAATTAGAAACTTTAGCCTAGAGATCACACACACAAAAAAAGTCACTCTGACAATAAATGCAGATTAGTCCTAATTAACTGGTTAATTAACTTAATTTTTCAGATCCTAATTCTATTTTCAAATCCTAATTCATATTATTTTACAAAATAAAAAGATACCAGTAAAATAAAATTTAAATAAAACAGATTATTTATAGCTTTCTTGACACACACACATACACACATAAAAAGCTGTTATAATCTGTAAGTTTTAGCAAAACCAGACTCTTTCAATGAAGAAACAGTAAAAGCCATCAACCCTGTCACACTGAAGATGCCACTGGTGTTCTCTCCTGAAGAACTCCCATTTTAAAACAAGAACCAGATGGAAGGGGTGCTTGGAAAAGAAGCAAAACCTTCTAAACTGAACATAATTGAACTGTATCAACTTTTCTTTGTAAAGTTTTTAATGTGAGTTAAAAACCTAAAACTTTATGAGCCAAAACTATCTTTTTAATATTCACATGCCAAATATCATCACATGACCCATGTAAACGGTCAACAGTCCTCATTTACATGGAAGCTCACCACCCCCAGCATCGTCATCTGCCATGCTTTCCCCTACCAACTACCCCCACCACCACAAAACCAGTCCAGTAAGCAGCCACTTGAGATGAATGAACGGCTTCACTTCTAAAGTATTAAGAATTTCAGAACTTACTTGGTTCATAGTAATCCACTATGGACACTGAAGCGTCTTGAGTATTTGAGACTTTAAA